CCATTCAAGTCATCTGATCGTATGTGTAGCTCACTCATTCATTGCGATCGCTCGATGTGATGTTGTAACTTTTAATTTAAGATCGACTTGCGACAGACAGAGATGACGGTTTGTTTTTTTTTATAGGAAACTTTAATGATAGCAGCTTTTTGCAAAAAAGTTGAAATTTGTTGTAAATTTTCAAATAAAAAAACACAATTTTAATTTATACAAACCAAGTTACACAAATTAAGTTCATTTTATTATTTTACCAATTTGAAATTACAACGAAATTCATAATATTTGAACATAAACTTATCAATTTCAAGCTTCTTTAGTAATGAAGCAAAAGCTTTAACTATTTGAAACTGTTTATTAGGTTACAAATTTAAATGGAGACGAAAGCTCTATTTCGCCATAAATGCATGGAAATGATAAGAGTCTATAGAAAAGATCAATACAGTTACATTTTAAGCAAAAATATTTCGAAAACTTTTTAGGGAACATTGAGGTGTCAATTCTCAGTATTCATACATAGCACGCTGCTATGTTCCCAGTTTAATGATTAATACAAGTGTATTATTAAAAGTAAATCAATTTTTTTTATAAACGAATAAACCATCGTCAGTTTTTTTTCTTCATTTAAATAATTAAATATTAAATTGAATGGGGTAGAATAAAAACTACTTCTCGAAAAATGTTTAAACACGAAACCTAAAAAAAACTTTCAATGAAAAGTGAATCAATTTTTTTTCGTCCAATTGATGTGAACCAAAAAAAAATTGTTCAATCAAAGTGAACCCAAAAAAAAAATTCATTTTAGTGTATTTTACACTGAAAAAACCGAGTGAAATTTTTTTTTTGGTTCACTTTTATTGAACAAAATTTTCTTGATTCACTTCAGTTGGACAAAAAAAAATTGATTCACTTTTTATTGAAATTTTTTTTAGGTTTCGTTTTAAAATAGAAATTTTTCGAGAAGTAGTTTTTATTCTACCCCATTCAATTGGGCTTTTGATGTGAGTCAAATGACGTATCAATGGTTGACGAAATTGCTTCATTCTTTAAAAATGAATGTAGAATGATTGCGATCCTCCAATCTAATAGTAAGAATTTAACTTATCAACGTAGTCGAAGTGTAAGCTTTCTTTTGGGAACGTATATCTCATTAAGTTTTACCCATTTGTTATTGGCTTCCAAAATATTTTTCGGTACATGGACATCACCATCATAAACATCGATTTCAACATGTACTCGATACTTGGCCAAAGACAAAATCGTTTCAAAAGTATTTAAATTGATATACGGTCTACATGCAAAACTGTACAATTTTTTTAAATTTTTTCCGTATGTCAATGTTTCTATAATTTTAGTCATATGATATTTTGATGTTACAAGTTTAAACTGGTCATGATAATCCCAATCAAAGTAAATAGTTTCAAGTGATGTTTGCGTCTTCATATCAAAAGAAAAAGAGAAATTTTTTTTAGTAAAATGCAAAAAATGTACAATTTTAATGGTTAAAGTACCTTCATTACACTGATAAGCGATTCGATATCAATGTTCCTGGTAAATGTCACATGCTTTAGTGTTGTCAACGTTGGTATCCATTCGGTTACAATATACGGACTTGGTGGAGTGAATGTAAGATCCTCAATAGACAAATCATGTTTGACAAAAAATTTGATTAATTTTTCAAATGACAAAGTCTCACAGTGTTGCATATTCAATTCCTTTAGACGTCGAAGATCTTTTAATGGTGCTAACAGTTCCTCTTGAGTGGTCACCATTGGATTCTCATCTGCATATTTTCTTGAAAAGATGTGGAGCGAAAAGCATAGACGTTCGAGATTCGGTACATAGCGACACAAAGTCTTAAGCATCGAAGGTGTGAGTTTAGAACAGTGATTCACAGATAAATTTGTAAGCTTTTGGTTTTGTGATAAAAATTCAGTAAACATATCGTCAGTTAAGAGCGGTAGTAAAAAAAGATCAGCTTGTTCTATGCCGGGGAATTCGCGCAAGAACCAAGTACATGTATTTTTATCTCTCATACAGGATATGCGTACTGTCTTCAATGGTAGATTGAATGTTAAGTTTTGAGGTGCAGCTTCGAAAAATGATATTTCTTGCAGAGCTGGAAGCTGTGCACATTCAATTATCAATGGATCGAAATGGGCGATATGTATGTTCTTCAGGCTTTTGTCACAAAATCGGGCAATCAATTGAAAAATTTGGTGGCTGCGACTTTGATCATCTGTACACCATAAATTAATTGACTCAATCAAATGACCGAATATTCTAAACATTTCTTCTGCTCGTTCTGGACACCAAACGGTTTTATTTGTTGGTTGATGATCTTTTTTCGCCTTCATTTGGACATATCTGTGATGTTGTCTAAAAAATTCTTTTGCACAGTCTTGGAATCGTGTACATACTTGGGCTAAATTCAAAAAGTCATCGCCATTGGTTAATTTAGAGAAAATGTCATAAATACAATCATTGTTGAGAGAATTGAGGATGTTTTTTGGTGAATTTTTGGCAGTCATTAGTTCAAAGTTCAACCTAGAAGTTAGTAAAAAAGGTAATACTATAACATTTCGCTATTAACCTTTAGTCTTATTGCTACAATCGAGTAGCATCGGCGATACACACCGTTATCTATAAAAAATTGTACTTAAACGAAATAATAAATAATTCTCATTAAAATTCACTATTTTTAAACTTCGTTTATTGGTGCTATGTTGACATATGGTCAAAGGTCAACGATTGAACTTAAATTTAAAAATTATACCATTAACTTACCGGAATTTTTTTTAAATGTTAGTTTTTTTAAATTTGTACTTCGGGTACACAATCTTCGCAAATTTTTCAACAAAAATAGTCAAATAAATTTATTTTTGAACACACGAAATATAGTGATTGAAAATCTAGAACTGAATGATCGAGATGTTTGCAGTATACAAAATCTTAAATCGAAAAACAACAAGCTTTGAAGCGACAATAAGGTAAGTAATTAGAAGTTGAAGTGTGGCCAGATATGTACAGGTATAAGAAAGTCATTTAAATATTTTGATTTTTCCTTTGAAGTAGGGTTGTTCATGTTATCTTGATCACTATAATGGATAAAAATAGACAGAAAAGTGTTACCTGATAACCATCTGTGTTAGCAAAGAAAAGTAAGACCAGTCTTTAAAGACAAAAATATAGAGTTTTTGTCGATTCTAGACTCCATTTTTTATAATAGACAAAAACACCGTTGATTGATTCGAAACATTGACAAATCATTTAAAAGATCAATTGAAAGTATCCATTTTCCATTTTGTAGATTTTTTTTTTCATTTATTATTCCGCTAGACTGTAGAGTAAGTTAAATAGCACGAAATTTGCGATGGTTTTATGCATCGTAAAACGCTATTCGATAAATGCTAGTTTTTTGATTTTTTGGTTACGAAAATATCTTATTTATTTTGTGATGTTTTGCAGTCATCTTCATATAGGTAAATGCTCTGATGTTTCTTTCAACAAATGATTTGAGAAAAATTACAAGTATATAACGTCTAGACATCGTCCATCCTATTGAATAAATTAATAATACTTGTGTGCTCGAACAAAAAGATAATCTGATCCACTTGGCCAAAAATAAATATCGCATATGATTTTTTGAATCCTGCTACTGGTGCCTCAAAAAAAAAACTTAAGAAAATATTATTGTAAACAAATCGTTGTGGCGAAGAAATACCTGCTATGTTGTTCCCGCAGCTATGGTAAAAGTATTACAAAATTATTCATTTTAACAAATTCACCGAATTCATTGACCCTTAATTGTTACCACAACCGAGAATTTTACTTAAATAATCAACAGAAATTGAACAAAAGCAAATAAAAAAACCGGACCGATGCAGAGTGAGAGATATGTAAAACAATTCCTTCGACTGACCCAACACATATTTTCTATGAGTGAAAAGAACATTGGATGATGAAATAATAAAATGCGACTTATGAATCACGCATTTGAAATGCTTTTGTATCTCTCGGCGTATTGAGTGAATCGAATATTCAAAATTTAACTTAAGCCGATGTACGAACACTAATCATTTACTTGCTTTTATTAAATAAATGCTATAATATACGCGCATCGACTAAATTACCAAAAGATAGATTCGTATTGGTTTTTACGACATGTGAACATTAAGATGATACGCTATAGCGATCGAAACATGAATTTGATCATTTTTCACATTTTTTTTTGAGTGGACTGATGCGGATTTCCGCCATTGAGAGATTTTACGTCGTGCATTAACTTGTTTATTTCATGTTTGCAGCATTGTTTTGATGTTCAACAAATTTCACATTGTTTGTGGGTGTTTAAATGAGATTTGCCGTTGCTGGAATTTTAGTATGAAATCACATTTCAAACGAAACATATTTCAGTCTTAAACTTTATTCAAAAGAATCGAGTTTGTAAATTTCGCGATACAAATATAATCTATAACAGGATCACTGTAGCTAAATATCAATACTCGTCTTTGATTTTTCTTTAAATATTTTTCTAAAATATATTTCAGCTAAAGATGGTGATAATTCGTACACCTTTATGTGTGTTATTTCTTTTCATTTTATCCACAATGAGTGTCATTGAGTGTGCTTGTTTGGATGATAGATCAACTAATGAGTGGGATGGTGGATGGTTCAGTGGTCCGAAACCAGTAAATCGTGCCCCATCTGGCTGTATACTTAACAGCTGGCCTGTAAGTTTTCATTTTCATCTTTACTTTTATGTATCTTATTATTTTTATTATTCCATATTTAGTGTAAAACACACAGAGATTGTTGTGAGGGTAACTGTCATTCAAGACGAAATTACGATTCGATGAAACTAAGTTGGGGTGATATAAAATTGTGCGGATGAAAATACTACACGGAGATATATATGCCGACGCTCATAAGCTTAGGATTGATTTTAGGAACATAATCCATTATCGAATATAAATAATTGCATTTGTAATGTATTAATTAAGTTTGTGAATCAATGACATAAAGTGAATGTTGATTACAATCAAAATATGTATTTCTTTCATTCATGAATCTGTCTGTTAATATCTTTGAAATGATGTACGTAAATAAAAAAAAACGCCCAAAAGCATACAACCCTGTATAGGAACGCACTCTAAAAAATCGCGTTCTCCATTTGTGTGTTATCTGGAAGTTATGTGCACAGACGGTATGACATTGACAGTTGGGTGGAGAATAAACTATTTTCTGTCAAAATATGCGTAAAAAATATACCGTGCAAACAGTTATGCATCTAAATAAAATGTTTATATTTCTATCATAAGCAAACATAAATAACATTGTCAATTTTGCTACAGCAATAATCAATCGAACGCGGTTATGATTTGGATATTCAAATTTTTAATATTCCTTTTTTATTACGTTGCTGTCACCACATTCCTTATTTATCTGTATGTAAACAATGCCATCAACTTTTTTGAATTGAATGTATTCTCATCGTCGGCGTCTGCAACTAAGCACAGTTACGACATTATAATCGGTAATAATTTTCAATTTCTTATGAACATTTATTGTATTTTTGAAATGGGTTTTGTTTTGTCATTGAATATTCCTAGTTGGTGGTGGAACTGCCGGTTTGACAATAGCCGCTGGACTGAAAGAGAAAAATGTATTGATTATCGAGGCTGGTGCCGATTTTCAATCGCCAAATGCCCAAATTTCATCATCAATTGGACGAATACTTCATAACATACCGATTGCAACGCCATTGCTACAGTTTCATGAGCTATTCGATTGGCAATACAAAACTCAACCGCAAAAAGATGCATGCAAAGCGCTCACCAATAATGTTAGTCATTGGCCAACGGGAAAAGGATTCGGTGGAACGCAACTCATCAACAATATGATTTACGAACGTGGTCATGAGGATGATTTTCGCAATTGGTTCAACATCGATCCCAATGAATATAATTTTAAGACGTTTGTCCAAGAAATTTTACCATTTTATGAGTAAGTTTTGATTTTTATACTTCGTCACAAATTTCAAATGCAAACTTTGAATTGACATCAAACGAATTTCCATTTATTTATAGAGAATTCGAAGAGTTTATCGAAATATCTGAACTGCGAAGCACAACCAAAGCAGCCAATGCATTTATTGAATCCAAAAAACAGCTTGACGACCCAAATATACTTGAGTTTAAATTGCCCGAAGTGGTACAAGATAATGGTAAACGTTGGAGCGTTGTAAATTCATACCATTCATTTCCGAATGCAAAAAAATATCGAGTACTCTCGGATGCAAGAGCCGAACGTATTTTATTTGATGGCGATGCGGGTGATGCAAAAACAACATTAAAAGCGGTCGGTGTTCGTTATCGAAAGTTGGGCAATCTGTACGAGGTGCGAGCAACAAAAGCTGTGATAATAGCCGGTGGAACAATTGGTACGCCAACATTACTGCTGAAATCGGGCATTGGACCAGAGAATTTATACACACAGACAACAAATAAAACGGCAAAAAAAGACACCAAAACAACTGCCGACGATCCATTGAAGTTAAAACTTCAAAAGCATTTACCGGCTGTTGGACAATATTTACAAGATCATGTAACAACCGGTATTGATTTGATTACATTAAATCAATCGCTTGGTTTCGAACCATGGAATTTATACAGCATAAAACATTTGTGCGACTATTTTTGGAATGGTGAAGGACCGTTTACGATGGGCGGCTGTGAAGGTCTTGGTTTTGTTCGAACCAATTTGGATGCATCACATGTGCCAGACTTGGGTTTTATGCTTATACCAATGGGTTCAACACTCGATGCTGGCGTCTATTTTCGACGTTTATTTAATATTAACGAACGCACTTGGAAGGAATATTTTCAACCGTTGATTGCAACGTCAACGATTTCATTGCTTCCGATTGTTTTACATCCGAAATCACGTGGTTTTGTTACGATTCGATTGAATCGGGATGATGATGTTGAAACAATCATCGATCCACAATATTTATCACATCAATATGATGTTGATGTTTTGGTAACTGGACTTAAGTTGATTCAAAAAATTGTCGAAACACCAGCATTTCAGGCACTTGGCGCATCAATAACACAACGATCGTTACCGGGATGCAATCAATTTCGTTTTGCATCCGATGAATATTGGCAATGCTATGCAAAACATTTAACATTAACCGCTTATCATCCGGTTGGAACGTGTCGCATGGGATTCAATCAAAGTGAGTCGGTTGTTCATCCAACCACATTTCAAGTGCATGGCGTTGAACAATTATACATTTGCGATGCATCCATTATGCCATCATTGCCAAGTGCCAATCCACAATCGACAATCGGTATGCTTGCTCGTAAATTTTTACATTCATTTTATGCACTACAACCAACACACAATTCAGAAGACAGCTTGTAATTTAGTCATTTGAATACAAATACAGTGTTTATTTATTTATCCAATGAAAATAAAGTCAAAGAACATTTTTTTGTGATTTTGAACATTCAACACATATTCCAGCATCAGTTTTTATTCCGCTTGATGACATCATATGAAACAATTTTCAACTACCAACATTGCGGCTAATACACATTACAAAGATATTTTTTTTTATAAGTTTTTTTTTTCGCTTCAATTAATTCATACAAAAATCAAGCTCATATTAAAGATTTTTTTTTTGTACAAACACTCCTATTGGTGTGATAATAAAAAAAACTGTGACATACCGCAAAGAAATAGAAGTCATGGATTTTGCTGAAGCAGAAAGAGAATCTAATCAGTAGTCATTATAATGCAGTCATTCAACAATTTCTATTTTATGTTCCCAAACTCTAGTTTTTCTTTTGAAGACAAAAGCTAAATAAAATCGAAATCAGCAACAACTTCAATGTAAACGTTAGTAGTATAATTACTTATAAGTTTTATTTTTAAAAAAATAAAGAGAGAGATTGGCCCAAAGCGATCAGCAATGAAAGTAATCATATGTAAGTATATCCACATTGGTGCGTATCTGCATCATCATCACATTTCACCCTGTAAATCATACATAATATGTTCAATTTCACAATATAAAATATAAAGCAAACGAAGAATGTCCATCGTTACATTTAAAATAAATCTGATTCGGTTTCATTCTTACCATTCTATGGTTGGCAACTTGATCCAAGCGATTCAATTGAGAATTTGCTTCGTTTATTTTCTATTAAACGCGACAAATGGGTAAATGTGTGCGATCAGCAAAAGGTATCCACTTTCAAATCGCTTCATGCAATTAATACTGCAGTTGCGTCGCGGATGTCTAAGCACTACACCCGCAAGTAATTCGTCCGAACTGAATAAATCAGCAGATTTCGTTATTTGATTCTCACTGCAATCGGGCCACGGTAGAGCCACAAATGGTAATATGAATTTCAGTACAGGTGTTGTCGGCGCGGGAAAAATGCGCTCAGGATTCAATACGTGAAAATGAAAAGACTCAACTTTTTTGATGAAAATATGTTATTCTGGTTTACAATTTCAAACTCAATTCGTCAAATGGTCGGTGCTCAAAAACCGTTTCTCATGGATTCGGCGTCAACTGCTGATACAGCAACACAGAAAATCCGAAAAAAAAGAGTAATTATTATGAAAAGGAAACAAGAAAAAAAAAGAAATAAATATTCAGCCCGGCGCAATAGAAATTATACGGAGACGTAGCGAGAATTTGTTTAAACAGTCATTCGACAAAAATTCAATAATTTTTCGGCTGTTTATTTGTTCGCTTTCGTGCGACCATATATTGTTTGATTTCAATGAATATAACAAAATACTGCTTCGAAAAAAAAGAAGGTTTAATGTCTCTGGCAATGCGCATCGAACGAATTTTCATTCGATTTGGTTCACTCAATTCGACTGTACAACGTTGGAAAGTCTCATTATCAAATTTACGCTGAACGAATCTTTTCAACGGATTTTTATGTTTATAACTTAAAATCTTTAGCAATACGAATGGAAGTGAGAATGAGACACAGTATGCAAGCACAATTAACAAGCCGAGCATTAAAATGTTTATTTATTTGGCTGTTGTAACAAACGAAAAAATGTCACAGGCAAAAATTGAAGATCGAACTATAAATTGCGCCCTTTCAATGCAATGCTAAAATTTTTATTGCCACTCGTACCGAGAATAAGGAATGACACAATCCATATCTTTCACAAGAAAGTATGCATCGGGATATGTTGTATATATAAAAAAAATTTGTTTACAATTAAATCACTTCTAACAATTATCAACGGTTTATTTAACGCGTTCACTTTCGGCTGAATCGGCACATTATACCAACTAATCACATTTTCAGTCTCTGTCTCACTCACTCTCTCTCTCTCCTTTTCTCTTACCCGCTCATTCTTGATACATGACTGTGTGAGTGCATGAAACGATATATCGAAGCGCAAACACTTCGGAACCCGAACGAATAACGGATTAAACATGCGTGAACTGCATGATGTCCATTGGAGAAGAAGTGATATTCTTGACAACGACAATATAATCCAAAATTCTTGGTTGCCTTATGAGTGTATGGGTGTGTGTGTGTATGTGTTTATGAATTTGTTTCATTCGGGTTAGTGTTTTGCACACGGGATAAGCTACATATTCATATTCGACAGTTTTCATTCCGTTCGTCGACTTCGTGTAAACTAATCGTCAGTGTTTTTGAAAATTCTCAACCACTTGGCTGGCTATGAAATTCGATTGCTACGATTAGTTACACCAGTGAAATTGAAGTGACCACATCAAAAACTAGAACAATTCTTTGGCAACGGCAAATATCCTGTAAGTACAATCAACATTTTTTTTTAGTTTTTACAAAAATATTTAATTGGTGCATACAAAAAGAAATCAAAGGAAAACAGTGTTTTTAGTGCTATTAATCGAAGGGAAAAAATGCATTTTTTTGATCGTTTTTCTCATTTCAACTTCAAGTTCGGTTGCAACAGTGTTTTTTTTTCGTCAAAAATGTCTCAAAATCATATTTTAGTTTCATTCTTTTTCTTTTCGACTTTTTTTCGATGGTTACAAGTTCAGCAACGGTTTCAAAGTCTTCGTTTCAATATTTCCCACCTGAAATCGCCGATCAAACATCAAAAATCACGGTCATATTAATTTTACACATCGATAGAAGCACCGTATACTATTGTTCCAATCCGTTGATTTAATGATAATATTTTCAAAATCCATTTGATGAAAGGTTGTTTGCAATCGATAATTTTTGCGTTACAAATTGTAACAAACTCTCGCTGAATGATTTTAACAATGCTGCATGCTTGCGCACGAATGCATAACCACATAAAATACAATGTAATTGATTGAGGATGCACATACAAAATGGGCAATCATTTCCGAGGTGAATGCTGTGCAAACGAATATGTGTCCGTGTCTATGCGCACATCGTTCAAAAACAACGTTCGATGTGCCAGAGCATCGGCATTCCAATAATAATAATTGTATCGACACTTTCGAAAAACCATTGAACGGTATCGACTCTTTCATTTCGCTTTCAATTACTTCACAAAAAAAACTGCACCATTCCAAATTAAATGTGGGGAAAATTCTCTTTTAGAAAATGTTTCGTGTCCAACTAAATTTGTTACTTTGGATAGAAACGATTCAATTATAAATTGAACAGATTTATGCGAAATTATTATTTAAAAAAAATTGTTTTAACGCATAAAGAAAATTTGAAAACAAGAAACTGAATGAAATTTTTTTGAGATAATTTATAAGCATAAACGGCGTTAAAATCACAGCGTTAAAATACCACTTGTTTATTCCTGTTTGAAATTCTCTTTAAAATCATTCATTCCGATTCAAATCGAAATTCAAACCCCCAATGCATACAGCAATTCAATGAAAAAAAATATATTTCAGTATCCAATCGAAACGTTAAAACAGACTGGAAAAAATGCAAACGAAAATCGTTGAAGTATTGCACAATGTTTTTCAATCGAGTCTGACTTCTTTGGTGCGACCGTTCGAAGAATCGTTACCTATTTTCATTCAGATGATTTTTTTTGTTCGGCAAATGAATAAAAGAATCTCAATGTACTGATTTGGAAAGTGAATAATTTCGATTTTTCTCTCTTCTGTGACGTCTTTTCCACACCACATTCAGTCGGTGTTCTCGGTTCGTTCTCGTTTGCAAAGAAAGTACTTTCAATTGAAGCGTGGGGAGAGCGAGAGAGAAAATTGAGTGCAAACAAGTGAATAAATCATCATCGTTGCAGAAAGAATGAACAAATGCATCGAGAGACCATTCATTCAAAGTAAAATTCACATCATTTCATATCGATACGCTTCAATTCCGATCTGCAACCGGCATACTTGCGTAATTTTCCATTATCTTTGCACGATATACATCTCATCAACACACAACCGAGATGAGATAATACTTATTGTTTTCGAATCGTTTCTCGTACCCAACAATGCAAATCACATACTGAATATAAGTGTATAATACACTATCAGATACACGCAATTATATTGACTTAATTATTACAATCAAAGTATTGTAACGAATGTAAGTTAATGACCGAAATCAACTTTGATTTCAAATAAAAATGCCAAACAAAAATTGACTTTTTATTTTTTTACTATTAAATCGACATTTTCGTCCATGATCAATCGATAATGGTTCATTTTTATTTGCAGCACCACGTTTGAGTTCATCGTTTTGTTTGCAGAGATGATTGATGACCGTATAATGATTGCAACCGGGCAATGGTATGCAATATCTGATCGTAGCGCCGAACCATCACATCCAAAGGCATGGGAGTGGGCCACTACCTCATCATCACTTGGTATAACTTTAAAATGACATGTGATGTGACGTAGTGGAATTCACCCTTGACTTTTTCACATCAAAATCGAGAAGAAGAAAAAAGATGAGATGACCAAATTCAATTTTTAACGACATCAACACTAATTTCCTTTTTAAAAAACACTTTTACCGCATGTTTTCTCTAATAAAATTGAAGGTTCATTTTGGGGATTTCATTAAATAAACAAATTATTCGTGACGCAAACAGTGGAAATGTTTGATCTTACACAAACAATGTATACGCTGTACTCCAAGCTTTCAATCTACCTTCAACTCGAGCATTTTCGAAGAATAGTTTCTTCCCATTATTTTTATCACTTGTAGGCTCTGAAACCGGAAAATTCAATAAAAACTGTTATCCAAAAACATCGATTACTTTTCATATTGAAACATCTATTTTTTTAAATTGAAAAAATTACATTGTCAAAATAATAAAATTATGAAATAACGTCATATTATATCTTTGAAATATATCGAGTCGCATATTTGTTAAATTGATTAAAATAAACAAACTAAATTAATTAAAATAAATGAAAGATTTTGTTGAAAAGAAAGGACACTAATGAAAACCAAAAAAATGTTTGATTTATATTATTATTTAGTTATTGAGAGCATGGGAAAATATCAAAAGTTATGCGAGATCTTTGGCTCATATATACACTGTGTAACTTGAGACATTGAAGCAATCAAACTAACAGAAACAATTTTGGCAATCACCAAACCCAGTAGAAGCCGTAAAGAATTTGATTTTTTTTTTTGCGATAGAAGTTCGTTAATAAAAAAGAATAATTTTGTTAGACAATGATTATGCAACATGATTTCTTCTAAATAAATTTTATCTCTTCATGAAAATGAACTATTCTACTTTTTGAAAATTGAAAATATAATTTAAAAAATAAAGGATGCCAACTCATGAAAAATAGTCAATAAAAACTTGAACGAAACTTCATTTTATTAGAAGCTGAAGGAAATACTACTTGAAAAATTGAATAACATAATTAATGCAGATATGTGCCGTTGTTTCGTAGTTGTTCAGAACAAAGCTCCAAGAAAAGTTAATTGTTAGAATTCTGAATAGATTTGAATGTGAACTGTAAAAAGTTTCCAATAGATGTCGTTGTATTATTATCAAAATCATTCCTTTTTCGCTTTTTATTCTACTTTAATGAATTTCGTTATTCTTGGTATGATTTTTGTTGTCTGTGAACGCACGGCAGTTTTTGAATTGAAACAGAAAGAATTCGTCAAAATTGTGTTTGTCATCGTTTTGGTAGAAATTGTAGCAATTTTGATTTCACTTAACAAAAAACTTTAATGAATGTTCTAAAATCCATAAGAGATAATGTGAATTGGACTTTTTAACCCATTTCGCTAATCAGTACTAATGCTAATTCATTCACTTCTCTCTCTCTCTCTCTCTCTCTCTCTCTCTCTCTCTCTCTCTCTCTCTCTCTCTCTTTACCTCGCATTTATTCAGTCTGTGCAATGTTTTAATTCTATTTATGTGTATTTCGATATGATAATTGCGCGTGCGAAACCAGAAGTAAGTTTTTTTCTTTGAATCGGCTGTAGTGGCTGCCGTCGGCGTTGAGTGTGTATAGAAAGTCGCGAATTTAAAAATTGCTGGTGACTAGGCAAAAAACTGTATGTGTTTTTTTTATTTCGTGAAGCACATTCCATTCTTTGTTTTTAAATGCAATTCAGACAAAACAGTGTAGCGGAGAACATGAAAAAAATAATGCGGCGAATAATCAATTTCTTTTTTTGTTTTTTTCTTCTCTTCTGTTGCATTGATGGTTTTTTTTTATTCTTGTATGTTGTTCAAGTACTGAAATATACTTATGGTCGCAAGCATTTTAGCGAGCACCAAGCGAGATAGAAAGACAGTAAAATCGCATCCAATGATTACTCTAGCTACAAAGATCGCGTTCAATTCGTTTTAATTCGCTTTGTCGTATAGAACCCAACAATAATATTTGTCACATTTTATCGCGCACACACTCTCTCACAATATCACAGGAATCCATGCATAATGCCGCTCATAACATAAATATTTTTTTTTCTTGCAAATGGTTCGCCCGATGAAGAATTTAAAAAAGAAACCCGAAACAATACAAAAAGAAGAAGAACAACACAACAACAGGATAGATTCGATGCATATGTCTACAGGTACTCGAACCTTTTGGCTTGTCTTGCATGTATTCGAAGCGGTGCACAAACTAATGGCAAAAAATGTATCTGAATTGATATGGATGGAATCGGCGCAAATCTACGGCAAGACAGCGACAGCATTAAACACACACACACACAAATGCATCGAAGCATATGCACGGCAACGGTAACAATATCTATAGACCGACCCGTTTGTTTATAAACGTTTGATGCCATCATAAGGATGTCATCTTATAACAAAATTATCAATTGATTTTCTTCAAACAGGAAGTTGATTTTTATTTCATTTATCAGATAAGGCGCAGATTGGCATACATGACCAAAAAAATGCAAATGACATGAGAAATATGAGTTGCATCTTAATTCGTATGTTTCTCAAAGAGATCGACGGATACTTTATTGAAAAACCAGGGAACAGAAGAAATTCTCCATTTTTGCAAATCAATTTTATTTTCGGTTGATATTTTTTTAGTACAATAACATTGGTGCGTATTGTTAGCATGTTTCATGCGCACTTGGAAAAGTAGCATTTTATAACGCGCCCGTATTGAACAGTCTAATCGCTGATTGCCGTTGTTGTTGTTGTGATGGTGGTGTACGTTAGTATCACATGCCTATGCGAAGCAAACAAGAAAACTGATTCTCCAAGTAACAGACACAAAGTGCGGTAAACATACACACACACACATGGCCATTGCTTGCATTGAGCGCGTTCGTTGAACAGAATTCGTGTATACGAAAGCGAACGAAAGACAGGGAGAGAAACGTAACAAGAACGTACAAGTGTAAAACATAGACGGCCAAAATGACGATACGATACACACAGACAGCATACACACATCAATACAGTGCGCGCAAATGAAATGAACGAACGAATGGCACGAGATGGTATGCAATGGAAACATTGGTATTCCATGTATTTTCGTTGTGCTCGTCCGTAGATTAGTTGAGATTGAACCGTTGCGTTGAGCAGCACGTTAAACGACCGACGGATTGTTTGTTCTTCCTTTCAAAAGGCAGTCTTTCATTTGCTATTTTGCGATATGTGATTTTGTATTTGTAGTTTTTTTCTTCGAAACAAAAGATGCAGTTGAGTGTTTAATTGAACAATTTGCATTCAAAATAGATGAATAATTATTCATATTCAGTGAGAATCGAATTGAAATCGTATTGACATTTCTTTCGGTATGTCGAATGCATTTTTATTTGTTGTTTATCACGATTTTCTTTTCCATTTGATTTTGTTCATTATTCGAACGGTGTAGACAGACGGTGTTTTGTGTGGGCAAAAATTCTAAAATCTCTAAATTAATCAAAAACCGAACATGTGAAAACGAAAACAAAAATTTTATGAATAAAAACGGTAAAATTTGTGCTACACAATCATGCTTATGGTGTTTGTTGTCATTGTAACTTCAGTTCGAAGTTTGTGTATACAAAAGACGTCAAGAGACTAACGCAACAAAAACAATTGAATAAATAGAAAATTGCGCAAAGAAATTGTGCCAAGAACTTTTCGGCATGATAAGCGTTCGTCCATGCGATATTTATTGCCATTTCAGCACCTATGTGTTGTGCTACAGCATAGGAACAACATCGAAAAAAAAAACAGCGATAAATAAAATAGAGACACACAAAAAGTACATACGATACACCATAAGTAGTTGAGAAAGCAAAATCGAGTTTGTCAAAAACCTGTATTGGCTTTTAATAATTTTTTTTTTCGAATTGGGCAGTTTGAATCTCATTTAAGAAAAGAATTGGTTAGAAATCGACGTTAGCGCGTTTAAATGAAGTGAAGAAAAGTAAAAAAACGTGGAGGTTTGAGCTTTGCTTTCATTATTCTGTCTTGTTTACATGAAATTCTTGACGAGCATGCACAATTTTTCTCGTTCTTGCTTCGATTCGATTTTCATTTATATTCTTTAAATTTCAAAATAATTATCTAACGAACAAAGGCGACCAGTGTTGTGGTGTGTGAATGCGAGATAGAGCAAAGGAATATAAATTCAATGCTAACAGCATTTTTATGCAGTTGTTGCGAGAACTGTATGTAGTGGCCACTCATTGTTCTCTCTTCCATTTGAGTTGGTTGTGTTGTGTTCATCATATCCTAATGATGGGAGAAGTGAATGATATTTTATCATGTGAATGTGTGCGCGTTTTTGTGTATATAAGCATGTATTTGTGAGGGTTGTGATCTGATGCGTAACAAAGATGAAAAATCAATATGATGGAGCTAAATGCCACAATGTGAAGAAGGATGGCAATGCCAGAAATACAATACACTGGCGATATGATGCTGTGTGTGACTTGTCAAATGTGTCTCTCTTTTTTTGTGGCTTTTATCGTTGCCCCCAGTAATTTACTGCAATAATGAATATTTTCGAATCAAACATTTACCCAAAACGATTTAAACAACAATCACACATAATGTTTATTTCGTGTGATGTCAATTCAAGAACCGTGAACTTGTTATTATCATAAACTAGCCAGGCAACAGCAACGAGAACAGAAGAGATAAAAAATCGACACACAAACAAGGAACGTATGATTATCGCCGATTCGATGTTTGATTTGGTTTTTTATGTCTTCTGTTTGTTTATATCTATGCGTTGACTGTTGTCCAGGACATTCCACTTTTCGAATTTCCATTGAACGTAATTGCAGGAAATGTGTGCAACGATTTATCTGAAAAGTGTGCATTTTATTGTCAATCTGAAAAGGATTTTCCAATGTCTATAAATCTTTTCGCACACCATGACCGTCATACGAAATGGGCTGACACACAGAGAGAAAGAACTCGCTCTCTCTCTCTCTCTCTCTCTCTCTCTCTCTCCCTGTCTTACAGTCTCCTCTGGTACGTGTGCGCTGGCTGTAATCTAGTACCTTATCAAAAATGAAATCGATTTATCCAAGCATTATATTTTGAGAAGTGGCAACGCGTGATACAACCAGCTCCAATGAATGGGCTGTGTTGATAAAGAACCATTACTTTGCACACATATACGAGGTTCAGCTCCATCTTTTTCTTTTATTATTATTATTCTTAAAGACGATTTTTTTGCTCTGGTGGTGTCGTTTCAGTAGTTCCGCATTGAGCTATGGCTTAGCATTTATCGTATAAATGCAAAATTTTCAAACTGCTTTTTTATGCTTTCTATGCTAGGGGATTTTTTTCCATATATGTCGGTTCTTATGCGAGAGAAAAGTCAAAGAGTGAGAGAAAGAGCGTGTGTTCGTACAATTGAGCTAGCGATTTAACACACCCAAACGTACAAACAAACAATCGCGCATCTGTACGCAAGCCATGAAAATTGTGTATAGCTATTGCAGGAGCTCGTACATGCTTTCGCGAATGCCCGAAATAAAAACAGAACACATACACAAGTAAAACAACAACATTACATCGAACAGCATTTTTCAAATTAGTTTTGTCCTTTTTTTATGTGAATGTTGTGCAGTTAAAAGCCCATTATTTGCCGTGAACAATTTGCCTTTCAGCATAGCCTCATGCAAACTAAATATAAAAATGTAAATGTTTTAATTGAGTGCCATGCTGCTCGTTCATTTCACCAAAATGAATGGAATTTCTCTTATCAATGATAAAGAATCATAATGAGAACAATACGAATCCCGCCCAAATATCAACAAACACACAATTTCTTTTGTTTCGCTTTTGTTTTTATATCGATCAAAATGCATAATTCTTGTCGTGTTATATCTCTATTTACAGTTTGATGTGGAAACAAAGAGGATCATCCCGGGCTGAACAATTCATTCTGTTGGAAATACAGCAAATCATGAACTGCGCTTTTTTTTTAATCAACCTAATTAAATAGGCCGCGACGAGTGTGTATGTAATTGTTTAGAAAAAAAAAGAAGAAGAAAAAACAAAACAATTTCCCAAACTGTTAACACGTTAGCCGTGTTCGATTTATTGTGCAATTTGTATTATTGACAATTTTGTGATTTCCGTACCGATACGGTGAGAAAGTAACTCATGTCGATGAGCGAAGCGAGCGCATAATTTCAGTGACTTTATTTTGAAGTTTATTTTATTTTGTAGACATGTGACAAATGTGTATTTTTAACCGATATTTTGTTTTTATATATTTGTACGATTTGAAGAAGAAAAAAAAAAACGAAATTAAAAGTGGACAAAACTGAACGCGACGAGAAAAAGAAAAGAAAAGTTTTAAAAGAGAGTACGATGCCTAAAGGTAAAAACAATTAGTGTTTGCCAGTTGTGTGTCGAAATTGAGCTACGAAAAAATATTTATAAAAAAAACCTATATAGAGAATAAAAGTGCCAACTAAAAACCATCAAATTGGATAAATTTACTCGATTGCTAATTGGATTAAGTAGCTGCAAAAGAAAATCTAATTGGTGTATGTTTGACGGAGAGAAACGATATACAGGCCAATTTTTAAAAGTGCTTCTGAACATTCTGATTTTATTCAAAGTATTCTGTCTTGCTGAAATACGGTGCACAACGAAGAGGTAAGATTCAACTCACTATTACATTTGTTTTCTTTTTTCTATCGGTTCTCATTTGGCGAATAATCTTAGAGAATGCATTTGTATTGGCCAACATTTTGAGATTTTTCTTTTACCTTTTTTAACTTTTGCTTTCTGTTCCTCTAACTATCTGACATAAGAATATCTCTGTCCAAAAGCATTGGTTTGATCATCTTTTCCAAATCGTATGTTCAAAATTCTGAACAATCTCAAATCCAAACATTTTGAACACCAGTGTATATACTTAAAATTGCATTTCGCTTTCGTTTCAAGTCGAACGTTATAAACACCGACGCGGTCATCTACTCTGTCCATATACAAATTGCTTCGTATCAATTTTGTTTTGTGTGTGCCGTTCAAAGCGTTCGTATTGTTAAGGCAAAGTAATCAAAAAAACCGAATGATTGCTCTGATTCACGTTATTAATGTGTCTGTTTCTGTTCAGGTTTGCTTTTTTTTGTGTGTGTGTGTGTTCGTGTTTACAAATATATACACAGAAATCCAACTTTAATCTCGTTAAACATGCTAATCAAAATACATTCAGAACCATTGTTCAATCGCCTCTATGCTTTGTGATCGCGTCCAATTCAAGTTGATTCGAAATTACGGTTTATAATTTTTGTTTTGTTATCAGCAAGCAAATAACAGAGAGAAAGATAGAGACAGAGAAATTCCTTACGCGCATTTGATGCACTTCGCATTGTGACGTTCCATCATTTTTTTGATATTACATCAATCAAGTGATATGTGGAATTGTTATTGAAAATAAAAACATTACGCAAATATTGAGCTCTGTTTTTTCTCTCTCACGCATTCACTCGCCGTTTGTCTCGCCTCGTCTGGATGTAACAGCTTAAATCGGGTGGTGATTTCATTTGCACAATCCATCAATCATGATATCTGTGAATTGAAATTTTGCCGAAAATGATCTAAATCGCGTTCATACAATCGAAACCGGTATATCGAAAATAAAGCGACAAATCGAAATTGAAAGCCCCAAGAATTTTAAGCGAAATCATTTGCGGTCACGTTTCTTTTCGTCTCTTTTTCTTTTTTAAACGAACTTCTAAATGAACGATCGATTGAAGCTTGAGTGTGGAGAATAGAGTCGGCCAATATCTATTTTTTTTGTCATTGACCAAAACAATTTCAAATATTTATAGAATCGCCATTGACATTTCGCTTCAGAGCCATGGCTCACCGAATTTTTTAATTTGACTTTGACCGGAAATTACAACTTGCGGTTTTTTCTCATTCCACCAACATTTTTTTTCATTACATTTGAATTAAAAAAAAAACAACAACAAACTATTGAGTTTTTTTCTTCTTTCCTTGTCATTCAAACTGCACTGAATCAATACAATTCTCTTATCGCAAGTAAGTGCCATAAGTGGCGACACGGTAATCATGAAAAAAGTGAATCATCAGCAAGGTTCACCTGTTTTACTTTTTGTATTTCAACAAACACTCGATTTTAAACACACACACGACAAAAAAAAACGTACAAATATCTTGGTGTAAACAATTCCAAGTCAAACATCGAATCGCACACACAAAATCCAAACATTGACTAACATTTTGCGCACATGAGCAACGATTATATCTACAAGGTTGTTCAAATGTTCTAGAAAACAATACGAATATAAAAAAAGAACTAAGCGTTTCACAGATAATGCTTGGTTAATTGCAACAAAGCCGATTTGAACAAAAAATGCGAGAAAAAAACAAAATCAAATAGCAACTGGGCCGATTCAAATTGTTACAGTTGTTAAAGCCATCTTTTGCGCGCCTAATGCTTATCGAGATCAAATTACAACCAGAAATGAAACAATGGATTTTCATATTTACAAATTATAAAATGCATTCGAACCGATGCATGTCCATGATAAATGCCATTTATTAAATGAAAATAGGAAAAAGTACCCAATATTTCTCTAGAGAGAGAAGGCGACACATAGCGATAAGCGTCGAGAGTGAAATAAAGATAACAGAATAGAGGCAAACGAAGAGAAATGCTGAATTATTTGAAAGAAATTGGATGAGTTCTAGTTCACAAAAAACACCTGCAGTGTTCACCATAATAAATTTTGTACAATGTACAAAACGAAAGTTTCGTAACTGAAAATATATATTTTTTTCATAAATAAAAACAATGATGAAAAAAGTTTCCTTGAGTCAAACGTCTCCCTTGAGGTTAAAACCTGTCTTTAAAATTGACCAAACTACATTTCTTTTACCTTTAGAAATTGAGAGAGAAAAAAAGCAAATAAAATGTCTGTTGAAATGAGAAATATTTCACACACATAAATATCCACTACAAAATTTAAGTCAAAAACGGTTTTTTCCTCCGCTTTTTTTCCACTTCGAATTTTACTTTGAACAACAAAGTTGAAGAAAGCACGTCAAAATAACGAATCGATGGAATAGCTCGTGTTGGTGTTGACACGCGGCGTTTTGGTTCAAATTATTGATCTGTGGCTATTTTCCTAAAAAGACCTCGAACCTCTGTGAGTGTGTGTGTTTGCTTAACTTTAAAATTAAATTCGAATTAAAAATGAGAGTCAATTACACTGTTTGGTTGCGCTTATCAACATTTCATGGTAGATTCTGTCTTGTTCAATTGTTTCAACATCACCGTTCAATCGTTCTTTTTAAATTAACTATTAATCAATGTGTTGTGTCTGTTTGGTCTTACTTGCAACAAATCCAATGTTGGATGTTCACATGTGAGCCTATATTCAACGGTTTTCAAATAGAACAATTGATGATTGAAACCGACAAAAGACGAACTAAAAGAAAAACACAACAACGACGCTACACTCGATGAGAGAGAGGGAATAATATAAGAAAGAATCAAGTAACACTAGTGGAATAACATAGAATATTGTGTGCTAGAATAACGATTTCGTGCTATCACGATAACCTTGACAAAGAACTTAGCATCGACCAAAACACATACACACACACACACACACACATACCGAGAAAAATAAAAACCAAAACGTAATTCCTAATTGTAGTTGAAGCGATTGGAATGAGGCCGAGAACAAGCAAGTGCTTCGTTCGTGGTTGTTGTAACGAAGAAATCTCCAATTGACGTGAATGTAATATTCTGGCAAAAGGTATGCAACCGATTATATTGATTAAAAAAAAAAATAGTGTCTGTTGTGTGTCTATCTCATTTGTTTGTTTGTGGGGGCATTGTATAGGTGGGCGCACCGACGTTCGTCGAATTGAAATTAATTTCAAATAGCCAATGTTCTATCTAACACACAAAGCATCCCCTACTCCACCTAAGTTCGACAACATTACCTGCGAAAATGCCGGCATACGTCCAGATTAAAATACACAGGCTTCACACTTAGTATGTATGCAATGCCGTTTGTGCATTTATAACAAAGACGAATTACGGCAAACGTGCATGCAATTATAACAACAACCAAATCGGTTGGAAAGTGGCGAGCAAGAAGAGTGAAAGAGAGAGAGAGAAGAGTAGCCGAATCGAATGAAATCGAGGTCGTCATAATACTCAATATTCACACATTACCTGTGAGTTTGTATACGTTGCGTTTTTGTTTTGTCGATCGTGCCACGACCAAATGTTGCAGTGTTAGTGATAATAAATTTCAATTCGTGTATCACATTATTCTGTGTGTGTCTCTGTTTTGTGTGATTATTGTGTACGAAATAACAGAAAAAAAAGAGTCTTGATGTTGTTGTTTTTCTGTGTTTTGTTCAAACTATTATATCAGATTTTTATATTAAACTGACGACGATACAGTCATTTTTTATAATAAGATTCCTCGATTTCTCTCTCTCACTCTCTATCACACCTTTTGTACCTGTTTTATGTGTATTCTGCGCGATATATTTGATTCTTTTCTTGCCCTAGGTATTACATATTTTATTCATGACGCGCACACGCGCCACCTTTTATACACCCGATTCACTCACCTCATATTCAATTCAATAAAAGATCGTTCACAAGAATTAAATATTTTTTGTTGTTGTTGTTTTTTTTTGAAAAACAAAAAGCTGCAAAGAATAAATCAGTTAAGCGCATGTTGTATGTGTGGATTGCGCGACCAAACCTATTCCAATGTAATGCACTGGACACACGTAATACGATACATCCCAATGCAGTCATAACTGAAACAAAAGAAGAAGAACGACATACAAAGACACAAACAGACACATTATTTGATGAGCTTCTTTATTTAACGGCCTGTGTTTATATTTAACATAATATGAACGAAAAAAGAATCGTTATTTTTTTTCTATAAAGTCAAGTTTGTGTTTTATTTTTGTTCACTTGTTGTGGCAATGAATTTCTGGAAGTGTTTGCCAATGCTTGAATTCAATTGATGATCGAATACTATCGATATATTAAAAGCATTAAACAAAATTGATGGGAGCGTCGTCATTCTCATAGCAAAATCAAATGCTAATTTCAATTACGATATTAAAAGCGCACGAATGGGCTAGAAATATATGTTGTTCAGTTTAAATCGTGTGGAATGCTGTTTCGATTTTGATGCGAAAAGAAAATAAGAAGTTTTTTTAATGCATTTTCAATTACAATATGAAAACAACGTGACCTTTTGTAAATTATTCCAGCTAGTTATTGATTTAATTAAAACGCCATAATACAAAAAAAAATATGACTAACTTGGTAAGTGAATTGCATGTTTTCGACGAAACATCCACGACCTCTCACTCTCTCCCACTACTCTTGTTCCGTTCACATCATTATAATCTCTTTTGATGTGAGAAGATTAAAAATGATATCTGGCCCGACTGTTTTTCTTTTTCACATCACACTATGATTTAATGTCGGTTTTTATTTGACTATTTTTTTTTTGTTTCTCTTCCATTCCATGTGATAACGTAAACATGCGTTTTTACTCGCTTGTCCAATTAAAAACAAAAATATGTATGCATATACGTGTGTGTGTTACTAGTTATCATCGCCTTTGTTTGCC